GAAGTATCCAACATCTTTCTTCACTTCAGTCTTCACAGATAGAGGCAGCTACCAGATGATGAGTGCTGTCATTAGCAAAAATAGGAAAGGAAGCAAAGAGCTCAGAGTAGTGGAAGGACAGGTTAGGGATTACTGAAAGAAGTTAGATGCTTACAAGTTGGCAGGGCCAGATGGGATGCATTCTAGTTACTGAAGGAATTGGCTGAGGTAATTTCAGAGCCATTGGCTATCCTCTCTGAAAACTCCTGGAGATTAAGTGAGGTCCCAGATGATTGGAAAAGAGCAAATATTTTGCCCGTAACAGGAGTCCCTAGCCCCCGTTACTTTAAGACAGGAATGTTAATTTTAAGAAAGGAGCAGACAGTTGACAGAGGGCCAGCAAAGGAAAGCTGGTGAAATGCTGTGGGCCATTTACCTAGATCAAGCTGGTAAATGAGACAGGCTATAAAGGGCTGAGCTCCAGGCAGTGGATTAGATAGAGTCTGCACCAGTGGATATTTCAGCAAGGAGTGCCAGGTGGTATCAGCACGGTACTCTTATGAGACCAAGTGAGAGGTGGAATTAGTGGCTGCTAGGTGGCACCACCTCTGCCTTCAGAGAGAAGGAGGAGGATTCAGGGAATTACAGAGGAGTCAGCCTGACCTCCGCACCTGGAAAGATCATGGAGCAGGTCCTCAAGGAATTGACTGTGAAGCACCTAGAGAAAAGCAAGGTGATCAGGAACATCCAGCATGGATTCAGCAACAAGAAGACATGTCTAGCTTAACAAAAGCTGATAGAAGCAAGCAAATGCCATAAGCAGGATCTCCTATTTCGTCCAGTATGACTAAGAGGTTGACATGAACAAGCTTCCTGGGAGACCATGTGTAGAATGCATGAGCCAAATTTGTCATTTTGAAAAAAAGTGGGGAAGGACAAAAATGAACCACCAAACTCTGGATTTCTGCCTGCAGGACATTGTGCTGTTCCTAGGAAAGAAGAGGAGCTGCAGTAGAATGGCTTTTTGTTTCTCTGCACAGCAAGGCTTTATGTCAGCCAGTCTTAGAATACGTAAACATGAAGATTCTTTCACAGGCACAAAAATACAATAGATCTACTAAAGTGACATTTCTGTTATGCAGTTTCTGGGCAGAGATACAGGGGATGGTCATACCAAAAATAGCAATCATCATGGAAAGGCAGGGAAGGGATCAGATTTTCAAATACGGTGTACATCTGTGATGACAAAGCACATGAGAGCTCACATCTCTGTACTAACCTCTGGCCTGCCTAATCTGAGACTTCAAAAAAAAGCTCCCCCCCAAACAAAAACAAAAACAAAAAACCCATTACTACTACCGGCCTTGGCAGGTACTGTGGACCGTTCCATAGTGCTTAGAACTGGAGATTTTTAGCCTAAATTTGGATGGTCATAGGGCAGTAGTCAAGGAAGAATCATCATGGGATTATCACAGCAGGCACTTTTTTTTGGTAATAATTTAACTGACTAAATCTAACCTGTCTCCAATTATAGATTTCTCCATGAATTAAATGCAATTCAAACATCACAGCACCTACAATTTAAATGGCTGGCCCCAAAAGTGTGATTTAGAGAAATAGGGTTAGCTCCCAAATTAAAGAGAGTTCAGCACCTCTTCCTGGACCCTGAGTTGGGGACCTCTGCCCCTCACTGCAGCTTAAGTGCCTGACCCAGGGCTGCATACAAGTCTCTGTTTGCAACCCAGAGCTTGGAGTCCTCCTCAGCTGGTAGGGACCCTTCTAATGGAGCAAGTCTCACTATTATAGTAAATGAGGTGCTGCCACCCACCTTTTGCCCAGTAATATAGGGCAAGGGTGTCAAGCATGCAGCCCACAGGACTTTATGCTATGGCTGCCAACAGCCAGGGCATGAAGACCCATGGGCTGGATCCAAAAGTAGGTCATACAGCCCGTGAGAAGCCATGCAGTCTGCATCTAGTCCACCAACTCATTTGAATTGGATACTCTGGGCTACTAGTTAAACCACATCTCCAGGAAGTGGGAGACTCTGGGCTCTATGCTACTTTTAGTCTGATGGGATTCAAAACCTGAACAGTGACTTAACCAGTCAGATCCTAACTAGGCTAGGCTAGGTTAGGCTGGGGTAGTACCCTTTATTTCAAGGTTTATGGGACCAGGGAGCTAGTAGCAAAAAGGAGCCTGCCTGTGTAACCAAGTAGTTAGGGCACTCATCTGAATGAAAGGAGTCCTGGGCTCTGGTTGCTGTTCTCTGTTATTTCAGGTTTTCACTAAATGACTGTCTAATAGATAATGCATAAATGGTCCTGGGAGCTGGGCCTAGAACTCAGAGCCAGTCCTTTGCAGCCAAGTGCCCTAACAGCCATGGTGGCATGTACTATAAGCATACTGATCACACCTGCCCTATAATGCTCCTCTGGTGACTGAGATGGAATGTAGGCTCTACCTCACCTCCATCCTGGAACCCAAAAAATACAGGCAGGAGTCAGAAGCCTAGCTGCTCACACTGGAGTATTTTTAAGCATGTACAGGAGCCTATGTTTAGCTCCCACTAAGGAACTGAGCAAGCCAAAATGTCGGCTCCAAATGACTCTAGGCACCTAAGGGGCTTTGTGGAGTAGGGGTGCTCTGGTACTTAGGCATCTAAGTTCTGTCCAAGTCTCTAGTTTTCCAGTCTAGATATTACCCTAAATGTCTATTTTAGCCTGGAAGGAACTTCATGAATTAAAGTTCCTTAAGATACAGTCTTCTGTCACTGCAGACTTGTCATGAAGACCCTGTTCTTTGTTAATCTCCCAGGCAGCTATCAAGGTTTTCAGTAAAATTTGTTCATCTCTTTCCCATCACACCCACTCATTTATCCCGTCTGCTGAATGACTCACAGAAACTCCAAATGTCAGTTGTGGATAGCGAACATGCATGCATGCATACACACACACACTCTCTCACAGCTATACTAACATCCACTCTTATCAATGGAAATGTTTTGCTCCCATTTTCTAAAAGCCATCCTGGTCTCTCTGAAGTCAATATCAAACTTACCCACTGACTTCAGGGAAACAGTACTTAGCCCTAGAAACATAAAGTGTTCTATGGAAGGAATGAGTAATACTAGACAATAAGCTGCTGTAATAGAGAACATTTAATTGAGCATGGAATTTATTTAGGCATAGAAAAAAATGACCATTCTCTCATTCAACAAGGATCATACATCACTCTTCAGCCAACTGCAACTCAGTTCACTCTTTGATTTTGATTCCTGTCATCACGGTCCTGCCTCTCAGTGGGCGAGTCTACATGCATATTAATGCTTTTTAGTTAATGCACATTAAATCTAGTACCTAAGGGCATTTATACACTTACTTTTCTGTCTCATGACGTGCCAGAGATCCACTGCTTCAGAGCAGACTTGACTAATTGAGTCTGTTCCACATACAAGCTGAGGCAAACTGTGCTATGCCAGAGGCCTATCTGGAACCTACCTGGGGCTCACATGCAGTGTGTGCAGTATGCAGCCTGGTGGGTGCAGTCTGGGTAGCATGCAGTCCCCACAGCCCAGAAGCTGGACAGTTGTCTTCTAGATTTTACAAAGTTTTCAGTATTTAAAATAATGGCTTGGAGTTTGAGACAAATGAAGTTTAGAAAGCTATAAGATGAGATGCCAAAATGTCTCAACCACATTAGCTTTGAATCTCTACATTTCAACAACAAAAACTGATATTTCCTGACTTTAAATGTCCTCAACTTTAAAACAACCAATGAATTTAAGAGGTATCCTGGATAGCCAGAGTTTGGGGTGACTTAATGGACAGAAGTGATCATAATCCTGTCTCTAGTGCATGCTGCAATTGTGACAATTTATTTTCCTGATGAGGACTTTGTCTTTGTTACATCCATCTGGGATTATTACAGTGAGTTCTGGCTGAGACTACATTTTAGGATTTCTAATGCGGAATGGAGTGTCCTGTTTCCCATAAGGATCACATTGTATCCCATCTCCCAAGATTTTGCTTTTTCTCTCTTTTCTTCTATGTGTAATTCAGAGTGTTGATATTGATGTATAGGTCCTTATACAGCTTGAAACTTAGCAACCTGCGAGACTTCCTCTCGGGTGGCCTATACACATACTCTGAGGTGGCAGGGAAGCATTTTAATTAGAGCAGTTTCTGGGCAGCCACTTTAGTTAAAATGCTGCAGCTTCACATGTATTAAGTCCCCACACATTTAAAAATGGCCACAGGACGCTTTATCTAAACCTCATCTGGTGAGGTTTAGTTAAAGCGTCCCACAACCATTTGTAAATATGCGGGGGCTTAATACACATGCTATTGCAGCAATGTTGCAGCATTTTAATTGGAACACAGAGCAGACTCAATTAATTGAGATTAACTGAATCTGCTGTGAAGTGTTCTAATTAGAACATGTTGGAGTACAGGTACAGGCAGCCCCTGTGCTCAGCCATGGCACATAATATCACTAAGTCATATAACCTAAATATTTGGGGGGCCTTTTGCAGGGCATTTCCAGTAGAAGACTTTTGATTTTGCCACTGCTTCCACAGAAGTTCATCTTTTTACGGTAAACATTTTCCTAATAGACTAATGGGAAAATATATGCACAATCATAGAGTAGTATAGGAATTGGTATTTTTATTATTTGAAAAATAAAAACATCAAGAAATATAACATATGTAAAATAGTTCATGTACCCTTATTTTTAGCAGGAATGGAAACTGTATACATTATATATCAGTAGTAATGGTAACCCCATTCAATGTCTTTGTCATTTAGTAAACCCACAATCAGATTTCACATAAGATTGTAACATGAACTTTTGGAAAAGCATCCACTATCCTTCCTTCTCTATCTTACTGTAAATTGTTAGTATGCTGCATTAGAACTAGTTATTATTGTGTGCAATCATTGATGCTAGTGAGTTTGTATGCCTGGATGATCAGTTTGCTCACTGACTCGGACACAAATTTCAATCTCTGTTTCAACAAGAAATCCAATTGATGAGTTATCCCATCAACTGACTGAGTAGAACAAACACTCTGGATGGTTCATATCTGAGGGGCTGCAGTATGAAAAGAAATGTAAGTAACCCAGGTACTGAAAGTCTTCGGGAATTAAATTCAAATAAAAAAATAAAAAGTAGTTTTGCCTTTGAATAAATCAGAGGCTGAACCCTGGGTTATAGGGGTTTGGACGTGGACAAAAATGCAAGCAGCAAGGTAGGAGGTGGCAGGGACTTAACATATAGCAGTTGCTCTGCATTGATTGTCTATACCTCTGCTATCATCCTGTGATAAGTGAAAGCTAAACTGAAAGCTTTGAGTGACACTTGAACTACCCTGAGCATGCAGGTAGAAAGCTGCTGGCTAGCAGTGGTATAGGACTCAGGGTAGGGGGAAGTATTGGGAATCAGCAAAGGAGCAGATGTTTGGGGTTCAGACCCAGTGAGAATTTGTGTTAGGGCCAGAAGGTTTATTCGTATGTTATAGTTAAACTGGTGGACCAGCTTGGGACTGATAGGAGAGATAGGAGGTCCAAGAGTTGCATGTGAGGCTTGGGCAGGGTGCAAGCTGCAGTGTAGCCTGAGAGGATAAGAACTAGGGCCAGGGACCCAGCAAAAGAGTGAGAGAAAGACAGAGACAGGATCAAAGCACCCAGTGCCTGAGAGGAGTGGAGCCAGGGTCAGGAACCACAGTACCCAAGAGGGACAGAGACTGAGAAGGGACATAGAAGCCCACTGAGGTGGGAGATGAAACTGGGGCCAAGTGCCAATGAATAATGACATCTATGAGGCATGGGCATGGCTACAGGGGAAATTGGAGGCCACAAAATTAGCCCATAAGATAACAGGTGCCCTGGAGGCAAATACAGGCTACAGGGGCCAACTTAGAGGAAAACAGAATAAGGCACACTCTAGGGATCTTGGGCAGGCTCCTTTTCCAAACTTAAAGAACATCAAGGTGTGGTGGGAAAGAAGCGAGTGACCCTAGAGCGAGAGCAGAGCAGGAGCTGCAGGGCCACCACGAGGTGCCATGACCACCCCTGGGGCTTGGTCCTGTTACATCCTCATACAAGAAAATACTGTGATAGCATTTGGTTCATATGTACAGTACTGTTTGACCATTGTTGCTAACTGCTGAGTTTTTAAAGGATGACCTTTGTGGGGGTCAAGTACTTTTTGGTGGTCCATCAAGAATGAGAATCAAATTATTTAAAAAGATTCATTCCAAAATCCTATTTACTCCTCCCTAATTTTACTCAGTCTGCTTCAGCAACAATAGTGAATGCTAAATTTGTGTTGTTACCAAACCTATTTACCTTTAATCTTCACTGTCCCTTTTAATATTCTTCCAGACCTAGTCATACAATTATATACTTCAGTGCACAGAAGACGAGAGAAGTAGAAACTATTCAGACTGGAACGGCACTGCTAACAGATATACAGTTCTACGTTTTAGCACAACCTTTGGCAAGGCTGGCATGGCACTGAGAAGAGTTGGGTTGCCTTCTGCTCAGTGAGGTAACCAGATTTCATCCAGAGATCCACAGGAGCAAAGGAATCTTTTTTTCCAATCCAATATTATGAAGTGGGGTTGGCTGGGTTGGAAGAGAATGCAAAAGCAATCAGTGCTAAATGCCAGAATTTAGAATGCAAGACTGAGAGGTTGAGAGGAAGGCATCAGTCATTCATCATACAGACTAGGTAGCAGGGCAATAATATTAGGCAGTCCTCAAATGTTCCATTGCCTGTCCCCCCCCCCCGCCCCGATTCTTACTTTTGATGCATTTTGACAGGGGCAGCACAGGGCTGCATGGTAGACTCTTGAAGGGGCAATTCTGGAACCCCCTGGCAGTCTGGCCCAGGGCTGGTGCCTTGTTTGTTCTGCCCTAGTTATGCTACTGCTGTAAGGTGAACACTAAGATAGGTCCTGATTGGAAAAGCAATTCACTTTTAAGTATGTGTTTTAGTTTAATTGAC